TGGTAGTCGATTCCACAAGGAAGTTGTGCGAGGAAGAAAAATGATTTTAAATCACACAGTGGTGGACCGCCAGTCTTCCAGATTGTATGGATGGTATCGCGAGTTTTGACGCAATGTGCGATGGTGAAATTATGCGACTGGAAATAGTCAAAACAATTCCTTCGAGCAACATCTCTTCGCAGTGCCAGTAAGTCGAGAAGAAACAGCTGTTGGTGATAGCACGCAGCCTTGTAGAATAACAGCGTTAATAGTCTTGTAATCGGAGCATGCACCGTCTACTACGACCTTGATACTCCGATTTGCAAGAAAACTGGCGATGCAATTGCACAATTTCTCGTGAAGCCCATAGAAAGGAATCTTCGTAAGAAGCGCTTTGTGCCAAACCCGATCGAAGGCCTTCGCTATGTCCAAACTAATCAACGCCAACCTCTCCTTTGGAGTCCTCCAAAGTTCTACCTTACCTTACTCATAAAAGTACTCATAAAAGTCCGCCGCCGCTCTTTTATGAGTAAGGTACCCCAGAAGATCACCAGACGAGCGAACGCGATGGAAACCGTAATGGCGGTCACTAATCAGCTGATGATACTCAAGGTACCGCATGAATTGACTGTTAAGAATGGACTCTATTATTTTAAAGAAAAAGGAGGTAATGGCGATAGGCCTATAGTTGGACGGATCAGAGCGGTTACATTTTTAGGGATCGGGCGCACGAAAGCTGTCTTCCATGATATCGTGACTATACCTAGGAAGTAGAAGTATCGGAAAAGATGCGTAAAAACCGGTGTCAACTCCGGAGCATACATCTTAAGCACAATAGGAGGAACGCCATCAGGCTCACCCGACTTATTGACGTCCACAGAGAAGAGTGCTCTGCGCACCCAGTGTTGGGTAAACAGTACATCCTGCATAGAGCGCTCACACCGCAGGGTCGGCGGTGTGTTCCCCCCATCATCAAGCGTCGAGTTGGACACAAAGAGAGAACCCAGAAGATTGGTTTTGTCGTTTACGGCATGGGACAGTGAGTCGTCTTCCCTGTGTAGAGATGGGAGAGATGGCTGACAGAAGTTCCCTTGGACAGCCTTGGCGAGAGACCAGAATGAACGTGTTCCCGAAGGAAGACAAACCGGTTTCTCGCCAATTCTGCCGTTGTGCTCCGACTTTGCCTTGACAATGACACTTGTAAAGGACCTGGAGGCGGAATTATACTTATTTTTAGAGCGCTGGTATTTGCATATATTGCACTTCGATGCGTGAGCATAGGCCTGGTAGCACTCTTGCTTATGGCGTAAGACAAATTTGCAGGAGCAACCAAACCATGACTGGGTTCTGCCTCCAATAATCTTCAATTTTATTATACGTAAAGTAATATTGTTACTCGCAGTATATTTCAGTGAGAATTACATACAAATACATATTAAAAAGTCCTTATGTTTCGACATGTTTAAATACCTCTCGTAACACTTCATTAATATGAAGGTACTAGTTATTATCCCCTCCGAAAAATTTCAAATAATGCTGTTTTCTTCACAGAACAAGGCGGTTTATACACCAATGCTGAGTAAAATGAAATGAAATCTCAGTTTAGTAGCGACTAAATTAATCGAAAGCTTAATAACCCATTTGCTTCAGAAGAAAGTGTAATAGTGGTGATATGAGGTCCTCTAATAACAGACTCCGAGAGGTTTAGTGGTGGAGAAATGAAACTACTATTTTATGTACAGCCGAATGTAGAATGGAATGTGGAGTATTGAATGAGAATATATTTTATCGTCAACCCTGCCTATATTTATATGTCCGGCTACGTTGTTAGTTAACCAATAGTAACAATTTTTATTTGCCTAGCCAATTACGGTACATACATTATGTCCAATAAAGATTATTAAAATACATCTATTATGTACGTTCCATGCCGGCGTGAGTACGTCGCTGGACTGGGCTATAAAAGTTGTGCAGGCCGACGCGCGCGCGTAGGGCGGCGAGCGGCGGCGGCGTGGGACCACAGAACACTATTACTCCTTGGGACACAGCTCCGGAATAGCAAGAAGAAGCGAGCTGCGGCGTTCAAGAAACGGCTTCAAAACGGTCGACGGATACATAACGATAGCGGCGTGTGAAGACGATGTGGCGCTGAATGATATTTGCGACTGTTTCTTGTTTCTTTATTAGAACGTTAAATATATACGTCTAATTATCTCGCATCAATATGCAGCCCGCAGTATCTCAGTAGCCGGGGATAGTTAGGAAATAAATGTTTTCTTCGCCTTCTGTGTTATGATAGCAGCAGGGTATATATTACTTATTGCCGATTAGCCTGGCTGCTACAAAAGGTTATAATTTCGGATAGATTACGCATTTATGTTTATACATATATATAAACCCGGCTTTGCAGATTACAAATTATAAAAGTATTTGAAATATATAGACATTATAAATTTCCCTCCCGTACTTCTATAATAAAACCAGCGTCCCGCCGCGGCTTCACGTAAAAAGGATCTATCAATGTGGCTGTTTTTAAATTTAAGATACTCGAAGACCATTTAATTAAAAAAACGGGTTTTTCTAAAATAATCATTCTTGACATTTCACTCTCTATTTGTTCGTGATATTTCACTGCAATCGGTCCAAAGTGGTCGAAGATTTGCCTCGACGAACAAACAGACAGACAAACATTTTAAAAATGGTTATTAATATCATAACGTAATGCAAACAACCCCTCAGCTCAATAAAAGATTGTAATTGGTCTGTCTGTAATATCGACATAACTACATTTCAATATTACAGACAGAGCGCTTTCATTTATATGTAAAATATGACGCAGTAAGATGGTTGAAGCCATGATATAGTTCTATCCCTAGGGACTATATTCCGTAAAATAGTTATATGAAAGTGGTTCATAACTGTCTTACTAGGAATATCCCTACAAGGCTCAATTTTTTTTCTGTTGCTAATAAAAATATATGTGATGTTATTGGTAATAAGTACCTGGGAAAAAAAAATCAAAACCCAATATTTTACTAGAAAATCAGTTTTTTATTTCAATTCCATATGTGGTACACTGAGCCTTAACTATAATTTTTGGCATTGAGTTTGAACTTTTAAATTATTTTAGGAACATGATACCAATAGAATTATATTGAAGTTAAACTTAAAAAATTAAATTGAAATATAAAATAACTTTTTTAAAGTACCTATTTGTGAAAGTTTCTGAAACAATTATTATCTTTATTGAGACAGAGTTCAACTCCACATTTTTCACACGATATAAATGTTTTTCCTTTGCAACCGGGGTATTTACAGCGTTGCCTTTTTTGACCCCAAATTGGAAAATGCTCAAACCCGTCACATCTCACTTCACAAGGGGGTAGGATTGCCGCATTCGGCTTCTTTTTCTTTATTTCAATTTGATCGGGCAAACTTGAGGGTCTGCCTCTTTTCTTGTTGATCGACGGCCCACACATGCACAGACTTTTTCCTAGATCAAACTTGAAGTCCTTTAGCTTTAATGGAGTTGGCGTTTGCCTTTGTTCTCCAACTCTTCTGTACAGTAACCAGCTATTTATAACAATAACATCGAGAATCTGGTCTCAAATACCATTTTCTCGTCCTTATTTTTATTTTATATTTTCCTAGGAAGGAATCCAGTAGGTCTACACCTCCCATGTGCTGGTTATATATTTTTACAATTTGGGATAAAATCTACTTGTATATATCTCTTCTGTTTCTTGCAGTACCTCTTTACTGAATGTATTGGCTCTTGGCCCACGAAAGATGATGATAAGATAACTGGTTTATTATTTTACTAGAAAATCAGTTTTTTATTTCAATTCCATATGTGGTACACTGAGCCTTAACTATAATTTTTGGCATTGAGCTTGAACTTTTAAATTATTTTAGGAACATGATACCAATAGAATTATATGCTATTATAAATATATGGTATATTATTGTCCACATCACTGCTACGATGTCTGTACCATCAACATTTGCCACCCATTCCTCAGAAAACCCTCTCTCCACCTTATCTTTTTTTAGATCCTTTAGGGAAGGAATTTGAACATCCTTTCCCAAACGAGCTTTGTTTATCTTTCAGTCCCCAGCGATAGGATTCCTTCTTTGGCCAAATATGAAATCAATTCTGGCGACGTGTAATAATTATCAAAGAACAACCTATATTGTTGGTTCCTGGGTATGCACCTAGCTAAGCGTACAACGATATTTGAACTCGCTCCTAAGTCTGGCTCACTTGAATGCCTTAGTTCGGGATCGTTCTCCATTCCTGAATAAATTTCAAAATCGTAAGCAAAGCCACGATCATCGCAAAGAACTAACAGTTTATACCCCCATTTATGTGGCTTATTTGGGAGGTATTGACGCAGAATATTGGAAGATTTTGTCGCGCACATTTGCTCGTCAACAGATAGTGCCTCTCTTTTAGGGTACTTATACATTTCTTTATCAAAGTTTCCAATATTGGCCTGATTTTATGTAATCGATCATGCCCTGGTGTACCTGAGGGTGGTTGCATGGTGTTGTCATTGAAATGCAGTAACTGGCAGATTTTTTTGAAATGATTTAGGGACATTGTCTCCATGATCAGAGGAATGCCCAATTCAGGTGCCCAATACATTCGAATATTTGGCAATGGTGACAAGCTCATAATTAGACAGATACCTAAAAACTTTTTCAATTCATTAACTGAAATTCTGAATGGTTTTGAAGAATTTTTTTAATACTAAAAAATGTGTGCATTTCTTCTACAATATGCCCCAATATTTCGTCATCAAAAAACCATAAAAAATATTGAACAGGACTTTCAAATTCTATAATTGGCGACTGTAAGTTTACGTTTCCAATAAACTGTGAATGTGGTGATTGAAAAGATTTTTTTTCCAAATGAATTTCCTTTTCTTCCTTTTGATGATAGAAGCAGAGCCGTGTTGTCTAGGTATGTTAGCAAAAGCGATACTCACAGAAGTCTATGATCGTCTCGTTTCACGTGATTATCTATTTTCACCTGAAGTTCTTGCTGAAGTCACGCCTGAAATACTAGGTTGAGTATTTGTTATTTTCTGCACCCTCGATAAATGAACATCTTCGTTAACAGGAGGCAAACGGAGATGTATCTGCGGTGATGTTTCCACATCGGTTAGGTATTCGGAGAAAAAATTGACGGAAGATTGAATTTTTTCTATGTCTTCATCACTTTCAGCTTCAGAGAAGTCTTCGCGATCTTCAGTCCCAGATGGTATACCCAAGAAATCTTCAATATCTTCATCACGCAATCGTTTACTCGACATAATCTGTAATAAATAAAAGTATTCATAAGTACATATTCGTAAAAAGGAAGGCTAAAGCTCGACGTACCGTATGTGGAACATAGATAAAAATACGATTTATCAATAGATATAATACAGTAATAGAAAAACTAACTTACCTCTGCAAAATATACACTTTCTTACGATACGTTATATTTTTTCCGGATCAAAACCTTAATGTAACGGTATTTTATTATTTATTTAATTTACGCAAATGTCAAACGTAAACCTTCAGCATAAATTTCGCCGTTTACTGACGATAATCAAATCAATAACGACATCTACATGCACTTATTTGTGTTATATCGGGTATGTTCCGAAATACAACGCAGTGTACTGTCCAATGCAAAAGACGTCATGAATCGACGCTGTACTGGTGATTCGTTCCAAAACATTGGACAGTATATGACGTCATACTTTTGCGCCATTTGGAAAAGTTTTGGCGATTATTTTTGTCATTTTGTGCTCCAAAAATCATTATATCCTCCTAATGGATATACCATCAATTATTCTATAATTTTTTGTATTTGAATAAATGGAAAACAAATTCTGGCATGCTTTATTCGGCAAACACACAATTAAAAATTGTTTTATTATGGCCGGATATCCGACACAATATGGCGGCGGCACGCTAGTACAATAAAGTGTCAAACGATACGTCATTTGCATTGGACAGTACACTGCGTTGTATTTCGGAACATACCCATCATTTCTATATTTGCGGTATAACGAAAAGATGTCGCTACTAGTATTTCATAGAGCTGTAGCAACCATAAAACTGGTTGTCCCGCATATGGTACTGAGTGCCTTGTAGGGATATAACTATGATATGAGCACGACGTAGTAACATGATTATCTTACTAGACTAATTTATGGATTTAATATAATCACACTATCAAAGTTTCGAAACTACCGCACTATATATAGAACATCGCCGGGTCTATATTACCTCAGCTCAAATTCTAATTTCGCCCCACTTCCCCGCGCGTCGTAAGCTATGTTCATAATCACTAATACTATAAGTAGATAGGTCGTTAGACACTTATTTCATTAGCTTTATCATATTTATGCCTGTTTCTTTACGCCAACCCAGTTGCTTCCTTTTGTATTACGATTATTTCCCATTTTAATTTTACTTCATTCTGTTGCTTAATGTGTATTTTGATCGTATGGGCCCCAGATTTCCCGTTCGAAAGCTTAACAAGACTGATCGGGCGGCAGAGAACAAGGTGCAGGACGCCGATATTTTAGGTAATTTCTTATTTACGGTAAAAATAATGGTAATTTAAAAAAATAAAAAAACATAAGCCCTGCTTTATAGTTAGTTCAGTTAGTATGCAAAATTTCATGATCTAATTTAAAGTATTTTATGAATACCAGCGGCTTATTGTTCAGTTCGGAGGTAAATTTGGATTTTATTCTATCGAGAAATTTTATGGAAACTTGTTTTCGTCTAACATAGTACTGAACATTAATCCTCAACTTTACTATATATTTATTTTAAAATTAATGCTGCAATACTTTCGGCATAACGGAGGATCTTGCTAAGCCATTTGAGGTAGTAGAGGCCTTAATTTTTGAATATTGCCCCTTAACACACGGAACATTAGTCTCTCCCCGGGTTGATCACCGTGCTCAATGGGAGATCTCCCCTTTCCCTTCTATGGCTTCTATGGTTTACCATTATAATTACATCACTAGTTTAAGTTCAGTAAGACAGTTATATTACTAGATCGTGCTCGTATCATAGTTATACTCGTATTCCTAGTAAGAGAGTTAGTAACCACTGTCGTACAACTATATTATGGTATATTATATTATAGTTATAACCTTAGGGATATAGTTATATCAAGGCTTCAACCATCTTACTGCGACATATAGATATTTTCCCACGTCGCAAATAATTATCGAATTAATAGCAAAAACTTTTTCATTAATTGAACTACTTGCCCAAAGACCATTTTTTTTAATTCTACACAGACACTGTCATTGATTAAAGGTTTAAAACAAAATGTACCTAAGCTAAAGATATAACGGTGAAATTATTATAACTTCGAAAGTTATTTCTGTTAAAACAACCTTTAAAGTCGAAATAACGTTGGTTACTTAAATATTTCACTAATACTTAAATATTTTACTAATATAGTTTTGCAAGACCCGCCGCAGAAGAACACAAAAACTCTCCGATCACACTCTTAATCTCATGGCTGTTAGACGGGTGATGAGGCTGCAATCGACAACAGATTTGACAGCATACAGGCAACTGAACAGACAGATCTCCAAATGCATGCGGCGTAACTTACGCAACTTTAATACTGCTCGTATTAAAGAAGCGATCGAGCGGAACCAGAGCTCCAAAGTCTTTGCCAGAGATCTGTCTGCCAGTAAGAGCCAACTATCAAAGCTGAAGACTGAGTGTGGCAGCATCGTTTCCGGGACGCCTGAGTTTTGAGTGAGATTGAGAGGTTTTATGGGCAGCTGTACACATCATCGTTGGAACCACACGCAAGTGTGAGTAACGATCCAAGAGCAAGTCTTATCCGACACTATTCCTATATATATCCCGGACGTCAGTCTAAGCGAGATTAGAATGGCTCTCCAGCACCTTTTTTTTATATATAGAATAGGGTGACAAACGAGCACACAGTCCACCTAATGGTAAGTGGTTGCTGCGGCCCATAGACATCTACATCTATCCTCCATTAAAAATCAAAATGCAGATGCGTTGTCACCCGTGAGGACTGAGATGGAATGCCTCGTTTCCAGTAAAAAGGGTCTCCGGTTCTCTACACTCACCATACGAAATACAGCAGTATTAAGCTACTATTTCACGCTGGTATTCTGTGAAAGCGTGGTCCTTCCCCGGTCGAGCCAACCCATTCGTGCTACAACTATACTACTAATATAACTGCAGCATGGCTCTACCACGTATAAACCTTAAACGGCAGGGCCCCAGGCGAGGATGGAATTACAGCGGAGCTTCTGAAAGCGGGTGGAACACCGGTACTTGAAGTCCTTCAGAAGCTCTTCAATTCCGTCCTCCATGATGGCACTACTCCAGAGGCGTGGAGCAGAAGTTCGGAGGTCTTGTTCTTTGGGAAAGGCGACAACGCTCTCTTGATGAACTACAGACCGATTTCCCTTCTGAGCCGCGTCTACGTGCTGTTTTCGAGAGTCAATACGAATCGTCTCGCACGCAGACTCGACGATTTCCAGCCTCCCCAACAAACCGGTTTCCGAAAAGGCTTCAGTACCATAGACCACATACATACCATGCGGCAGATTGTACAGAAGACCGAAGAGTACAATCTGCCACTTTGCCTGGCGTATGTGGACTATGAGAAAGCCTTCGATTCTGTCGAAATTTGGGCGGTGCTACAGTCCCTTCAGCGGTGCCAAGTTGACTGTGAAGTTTGTATATCGAAGTGCTGAAGTGTTTGTACAGTAGGGCTACGATGGTTATTCGAGTACAGAACCAGAGCTCGAAACCTATCCAACTGCAGAGAGGTATAAGACAGGGTGACGTTATATCCCCGACATTCTTCGCCGCAGCATTGGAAGATGTTTTCAAGTTACTGAACTGGAAAGGATACGATATCAACATCAATGGCGAATATATAACTCACCTTCAATTTGCCGACGATATAGTCCTTATGGCAGAATCGCTGGAGGACTTAAGCACTATGCTCAATGACCTCAATAGTGCCTCCCAACGGATAGGTCTTAAGATGAACATGGACAAAACAAAGATCATTTTTAATGTCCATGTCACACCTATGCCGGTAGTGGTTGGGAGCACTATGCTCGAAGTTGTTGACGAGTACGTTTACCTGGGACAAATAGTCCGACTAGGTAAGTCCAACTTCGACCGAGAGGTCAGTCGACGGATTCAACTCGGCTGGGCAGCGTTCGGGAAATTACGACATATCTTCTCGTCAGGTATACCTCAATCTCTAAAAACTAGATTGTACAACCAGCGCGTGTTGCCAGTGATGACTTACGGATATGAGACGTGGTCCTTCACTGCTGGCCGTATGAGGACGCTCAAGGTCGCTCAGCAAGCTATGAAGATGGCTATGCTTGGAGTTTCTCTGCGTGATAGACTCAGAAATGAGGATATCCGTAGTAAAACCAGAGTGACCGACATAGCCCAACGGATTAGTAAGCTGAAGTGGCAATGGGCCGGCCATATAGCTCGAAGAACCGATAACCGATGAGGAAGAAATGTTCTCGGGTGGCAGCCTCGTACCGGTAGGCGTAGTGTAGGGCGACCCCCCACTAGATGGAGTGACGACCTGGTAAGATGTGCAGGAAGTCGATGGGTGCAGGTGGCTCAGGATCACGCTTTGTGGCATTACTTGGGGTAAGCCTATGTTCAGCAGTGGACTTATGAAGGGCTGTAAATAAATATCTTGAAGTTATCAAAAATAACTTCAAGATATTTATTTACTTATTAGCCACAAAATGTCATCTCTTGCAATACTTATCGAAATATTTAATGGGTCAAATACTCTGACGTCACACGGCGCCCCTCTAATATTAAGAAAATAAAATTTAATTCAAGTTGAGACTTCATTCAGGAATTTATTTATTGAACTATTGAGTTATATTTTAGGTACAGTCAAATTTAAATAGAGTGATGAATAACACAGTTCAAAAACGTTGTAAAATCAATTACGAAAGTCTGTAATAAGACATTCTTATTTTCTCATATAGATACAAAACATAATAATATACAATATTTACTACAATAAGAAATTAAAAATATTCTTACTAACTTTTGAAGAATAACTATTAAAATAAAATGTACAAAATCCGTTAATCGTTTAATTGTATATTAAAAAGTAACCAAAACATCAAGGGACAAAGACTAATTCAAAAGGTACATTTTTCTGTAAACGAACTGACGACGACGTAAGCAATTTGACACAGTGTGACAGGGAATTAAAACATTGCTAGGTTTTGTGACACAATAAAAACGTGCCGCGGGAGCGAACCCTCGCTCTAAAGAAATCATGAAATGACAATAACTTCTATCTATATCTATATCTTATATGTCGTTAATCCCCTGTGCCCATGATAGATTCTTAGACAAAAGTTGCGGAGCATTATGCTATCATCCAATGTTGTATGTCTAACTTCGGGTTGAAAAAAAGACAACAGAAACAATCTAAAAATGTATATTATGTAGCGTTACCGTTACTGTCCATTAAAATTCCACTGCTAAACCTCCTTTTCCCGTACGCCTCCATAAAATATTGCTCGTGGGGAGAGGAGGGGAGGGGGTATTTGTCATAATTGTAACGCTTCGCAAGCACGCGCTGCTGCCCGTGGGACAGTGTGGGTTAGGGAAAATTTTTACACCGACTCTAATATGTCACTAATATTTAATATTTATTTAAAAAATATAAAAAATGCAATAAACATATATTTGGCATAGTAAAAGTTTATACGGTGAAGGAGCGCAGAAAGCTAAAATGTATAAATAATATGTATTTCAACATTAATTATATTAAGTAAAACATTAAGTGCTTACGTGCACCCGATCCCTAGAGAAGAAACCGCTCTGAGCCATCCAACGACAGGCCAATCGCCATCACCTTCGTGTTCTCGAAAATAATGGAGACCAATAATAATTACCAGTTTAGTCGACGGCGCAGGCTCGGATTTCAAGCCTCTGAATACCGGTGTTCCATTAGGCTGCGTGTTATCACACCTACCCTGTTCCCTCTGTATCTTTACGTGGTAGAGCCATGCTGCAGTTATATTAGTACCTAGTATAGTTGTAGCACGAATGGGTCGGCTCGACCGGGGAAGGACCACACTCTCACAGAACACCAGCGTCAAATAGTAGCTTAATGCTGCTGTGTTTCGTATGGTGACTGTAGAGAACCGGAGGCCCTTTTTACTGGAAACGAGGCATTCCACCTAAGTCCTCACGGATGACAACGCATCTGCATTTTGATTCGTAATCGAGGATAGATGTAGATGTCTATAGGCCACAGCAACCACTTACCATCAGGTGGGCTGTGTCTCGTTGTCATCCTATTCTATAAAAAAAAATGTAAACCCCCCCCCCCCCCGTATATAAAAAGAGGCCATCTGATGTAAAATACAACAACATTAAATAATATAAATTACATGACCAGGCTAAAGAATATAGATTTACGTAGATTGTTTGCTCGTTTATCACCGTTATTCTATAGAAAAAACTCCTGCGATAGTTCGGTACATGTTGATAAAATACCGAAATTTTTATTTCCCTGTAGATTTCAAATGATACTATTTGAAAACATGAGTTGTAGTTTCTGATCCAATTTAAAAAGCGCCGTGATTCATCAGTACCATTAAAACAAAGAGTTTTCAGTGGCTCTTCGGGATAGCCGAGTGAAGGAAGTGAAACTTTATCATTGATGCAGCGCATTTCTGCGGTTTCATTTTTCTATTTTAAATCGCTTTAAAACTGGCTTAAAAGATTATATTTTAATGTTCTAAATTCAAAACGCTACGTTGATGATTTAGTGAAGAATTTAACCTAGTTTACTTAACAATCAATTAATAATACAACGGAATGTTGTAAGTGTTATATCACAGGCTATTTATACTCACACGTAAAAACTGAAGGGAAGGAAATAAAAATCATAACTTAATAATCTATCAACCCCAAATTATTATTATTTTTGATAATAGAAGGCAGTATAAGTTCCACGTGGGTAACTACTGTTATATATATATATATATATATATATATATATATATATATATATCAAACACACATTTGGGCGGCACGGTGTTACCAAATTTAAAGTGTTATTGATGTTACCAATAGTTATTTTCCATTATCTATCTATCGATCTAGCTATCTATTTAACGTCATTAAGAAGTTCATCCGCTTCTGGCATGCCCATGGTTACTAAAAGCTCATACAATTCCAATCCCATAATCCATTACTAAAGTCGCCACTTTAAATGATTATTTGGCATGACAAGATAAAACATTGCTCAATTAATGCAACATTACAAAATTATATTCTAATTTTTCAACTGACACTTTTTTACTTACTCGGTTTGCTATTTATCTTCAACTATCATTGCAAACTTTACATTTGTGGCCGTGGAATGAAAAGGGGAGATTCCCGCCGGGCAAGGAGCTCCGCCCGAAGAACGGCCAGCGCTCCGTGTGATGATTCGGAGATCGGACCTATTCTATGTATTACTGTTTTTATGTTGGAACTTTAATAGCGCGATTTAGGCTACGATGTGTTTCGCTTGTGGCGCGACGACAGCGCCGCCGCACATTCATTATGTAGCAGGTCAATAAGTTAATATCACAAGCCAGGATATTACAGAAAATTTACATTTTTAATGATTTAATCCTGTGCTTGACTACATTCCACAAAACGCAAACAATATAATACAAAGTCTTAGTACCTTTGACGTTACACCTTACTGCCAGTTTTGAAATTTCCAAATAATATTGTTACGAGCTTAGGGTTCGTGACAATAAAAATTGCCGATAAAATTACCTAAATTAACACTTTAATTTACTTTACACAAATTAAAACTTAAAACACTAATGATTAAACACACTAATTCACTTAATTCCGCTCCGAAGCTTCGCTTGTGTCGCCGAGTTCAAGTCTACTTCGATCGCATCTTGCAGCGCCTACTTATATAAATTAGCAAAATATCCAGAATGTTCAAGTAAACACGGGCAAGTTACCGAGAGTTCGAGTTTTAAACTTCAAGAAGTTTAGTTCTTCGGTTCGAGACTAGATGGCGCTAGTGCGCCGATTTGAGGCATTGGAGCGCGTAACAATATAATATTTTGTAGAGTAAGAGACAGTGTTACTGCTATCTAGAAATGGTGTAATGTATTCTCTTATTTCATCACTACATGACTACAATGTAAACTATACTTTAAATACTTTTAAATAGATAGTAACTAACAAATATAGTTTTACAAAAACATACCAGATACGAGAAGTTTTGAAAGCGTATCGTAGTAATTTCCGCTAACTAGCGGAGCAGTGACTATTCCAAACTTCAGTTTAACACAGTTACAAATAAAGAAAAGCTTTTTATTAACTTTAATATTATTGTAGTCGATCATCTTCATTATTGCAGTCCATCATAAGTCGTCGGTACTGAGTCACCTGCATCCACCACCGATATCCTGCATCTCTTACCAGGTCGTTGCGTACGTGGTAGAGACATACTGCAGCTATATTATGGTTGTAGCATGAATGGGTCGGCTCGATCTAGGAAGGACCACGCTCTCACAGAATATCAGCGTAAAATAGCAGCTTAATGCTGCTGTTTTTCGTATAGTGAGTGTTGAGAACCAAATACCGTTTTTACTGTATACGAGGCATTCCACCTTACTTCTCAGCGGTGACAACGCATCTGCATATATAGATACTATATAGATGTCTATAGACCACAGTACCAATTAGTACTCGTGTAGAGTGTGCTCGTTTGTTATTCTTATTCTATATAAAAAGCACTCCATTCCACGCACAAGAGTTTTGTTCTTGGATTTGATTTACGAGCAATAGTTTTTATTTCATTGATGAAACAGAATGTCATTGTTGCAGAAAGTTCAACATGGATGCTCGAGCGGACGACGATGAAGCTCCGCCGGATCCAGCGGCGCGGAAGCAACAGCATCATGATTACACTGAACAGGACTTCGAAGGTAAATAACATGATATATTAATTTATCAAATGTTTACTGATAAATTACAAATTAATTCATGAAATCAATACAGGGTCTTAAAATAGAGTTTTAAGTGGTAGATTAAGGGTTTAGAACACTGGAATATCCGATTAAGCTTCAATTTTGATTGATTGAAATGTATGTACCGCGATTTCAGTAAATTTTCAATAAATACCATTCCCAAGCCAAATTTGTTCATATCACAGTGAAAGTTGCGATTAATGCTCAGTTTTTTTATATTAAGATAAATGCCTAGAAATGCTATTTTTCTTGTTATAATTAATATGCCTAGATAATTCCATCATTATGTCCTCCACCTCTGGACTACCGCTTAACATTTCCTTGGGACAACGTGAATATCAATCAAAATAATTAATCGCGACTTAATGATCAAACGGTATGATTTCTGAGTCGTAACATACAGGGCGCGAACACAAAACAGTACTGTCTTAGAGTCCGTCTGAATTGTTATCAACCGCAAGTTTTTGATAATAATTCTTTTTAAGGAATGTTAACAATGCTATAAACATTACTAATATTCCTCTTAACCACTCGTGGTAAGCTTAAATTGCTTGTGTTACGAGTGGTTCACGCCAGTAGTAGAATGGCGGATTCGAACCCACGACCTTTTTGAGTTCGCGGTCCGCGCCCTGCCATTAGGCTACTGTCGCTTCCTTGGCTAAATACACTGTCTTACGAAGACACGGAAAAACTTATGTTTCAACACATTAGGTGAAAAAAATTCACACACAAACACACACACACATTTATTTTTGAATAATTTAAAACTTTTTTTATAATATGTAATCTCACGTCTCCAGAACGTTTTGTATGGCTATGGAAGAGTGAGTCTTTGACACAAGTGCCTTAAGGTACTTAAAAGATGCTCCCTACCTTATGCAAATTGTAAAATACCAAATGCAATAAAAGGTTATTATTATTTTTGGGGTGTCTTTATAATTTTCTCATATGGTTGGGTTCTATAAATATATAATTTAAAGTTAAAATGAAAAGATAAATATACATAAACATCAATAAAATAAAATAAATACAAAAAATACATAAATAAATAAGATCCAACCAGATGGAAGCCCTCGGCAGGGGAGACCAAACGGCCGAGGGTTAGGAGGAAAGGGAAAGAAACCGGCGGACGATGCGGGCGGTATCGAGAAGCACCGCCTTCTGCATTTGAGCTCGGAGCGGTCCATCACGGAGTCCCAGTTGCCTCAGATGACCCGAGAGGCTGATTGGGATTAGCCCATTCGCAGAGACGATTACAGGAATAATTTCGGTCAGCAGACCATCCCACATGTCGGTTACCTCGTGAGCCAGGTCCAGATATTTTGTTTGTTTATCTGTTTCGGCTTTCACGAGGTTCTCGTCATACGCAATGCTAATGTCGATCAAATTTCGCCATGACAATAGCGGCGTTCTGTCAGACTCAACAACCGGAGATTGCCTAAGTGACTCACCGGGATGGCGACAAGCTCGACAGACGTCGACGGTGCCATCCTTTAGGATGTATCTCCGATAGTTGTTGGTCTTAGTAACCTGAACCTGTATTGCACAGACAAAACCCTCGGTTTCCCCGAAAAGGTCATCGAAACGTAGCCAGCTGAGGGAGGCGACTGTATCTACGAAGGGCTCATGTTATTATTATTATTATTATTACTTATTTTTCTATAGCATTGTTCCTATTTGAAGGGTAAGAAACTAATTAATCTGATCCAGGTATGACAATGCACTTTGGCCTCTTCTTTTAAAGTTATTTGCAAACGTTGTCCTAGGTTGCAGGTGTCGATGGACAGTAATAGCCAAAGAGTATATTATTATCACTAGGTTTTAGTAACAGCCACTTACCATCGGGAGCACTATTCGGTCATTTGTCATAATTAATATTTTTAAATTGAAATTAATATGCAAAATTTTGCTCCGTTTGCTTCAATGATAAACTTATCGGCCCATATACAGTTAGTTACTTTATATATTGGTTGTTATTACTTAAATTATGGGAACTAAATTATGGAATGGAAACTGAAACAAAAAATAAACATCTTCCTGATAACAATTTAAAATAATACAAAACTGCGTTTGCCAACCCGGCTAAGTGCGGCAACTATGGAGTTGTGAGGTCATCTATGGGGCGAGCCTATGTTCAGCAGTTATACGCTGTAGTGGACGAACTTAAATTATTTGTATAATCCCCATTAAATCTGGTTTAGCTTAAACTAAGATACTTGAGCGATCCTAGCAAAGTAAACGTTTTGTACCGACCGCAGCAGAAGTTTAAATGCTAAAACTACCCAAAGCTGGTTACAGCCCTCCTCCTTCTTCTTCCAAGAGGGTTATGGAGGAATGAATCTGTCGCACTGCGCAGTGTGTGTTGTCTCTCTTCACATGACTTCGAAATATTTTATTGCTCAGACTTGCAGATTTCCTCGCGGTTTCCTGGTTTATATCAGTACGTAAAATTGCAAGTATTAATATTATTTGTGCCGGCGGGGATTATACGTCCATTGCTGGCGTACTGTAAGATTAAAACTAACGCTTAGCTCCTATCAGGCCACGGATATTACATTTATTACTTATCCGTAATGTGTTAGCTATATTTCACAACAATAATTTGAACCTTTAAATATAATACAGACGCACAATACTGTTATTGTTTTGTTGTAAAACATGACAAGATGACAGCCATAACTATGTTCGTTTTATACAAAGACATTTAATAGTAATAGATCGGACATCAGCAACAAAATTGTCGTCTGTAAGATAGGTCCTGCAGGATATATCTCCGATTTTTGACCTTTAGTCTTAGTGACATCACCGAAAGGTCAAGACGCATTCATTTCATAAATTTAAAAAATATTTTTTAAGAAAATATGTCCGGTTGTGCATTAAGGTATAGTAAGTCACGATATGGAGCAAAAAATGAACATGATTTCGGTTTATTATCCTAAGAATAATGTATATTTACCAAATAACCTTTAAATTTTATTATTTCTGGTAGATTGTTCTAGAAGAAAGAAAAATTATTGTAATACTCGTAAGTGCTCTCTGTTATCCAGTAACATCACTATTTATTTACAAATATGTTAGTAATTGACGACGTGCCTAAAACCGATTTTTACCTTATATTTAGAAGCGTCACCTAATGGGAAATAGCTAAAATGTTTTCCAAGTAAATATTCAGCGTAGTATTGCTATTTTTCGCTAGAGGGCTTAACACACAAATTTTGTACGCAAATGTTTCAAATGTCCATCCACTCTATAGTACATATTTAAATCTGTTTGGTTTTATAGGACACAGAGCACACACAGTGTACGTTGGTGTTCATGTACCTGCCCGACGCCATTCCCACAGGAAACATAAACACCATCACCGCAATGGAGAAAAGGACGTCGAAAGACCAGGTAATAACAATATTTATTATAACTTTTTTTTATTACACAAGTAAACAAAATTTTTATTTTTACTTAAGTATACGATTAAACAATCCACAGCGGTTAGAAACTATTCAAGTAAAATTATATTACTTGCGTAAAAATAATTTCACGCAAATCCATTTGTTTGTATATGTATGCTCACATATAAACACAAAAGGTTTCAAATAAATTTTCAATATCCACAACTACAACTACCACCGCAAACATACATATGCATATGTACCTATTGTACATGCAGCATAGGTTATGCTGCCTACACAATAGGTACGTATGTTACGTACATTCCGTACTCCAAGCTAGCAATGCATTGTATAACATACTACCTGTACATGGCATGCACGGTATCTATTTGTAAACTAATCAAAATTAAATTAGTTACAACAATGAGCATCATGATTTCGATTCATAGGCCCAGCAATAATGGCTCGAGTGAGAAGATTAAGCGTCACTGATGACGGAGAAACATGTAAGAATCAAGATCCCCTTTGGTTAATAGGGTTCATTTATGCTCTGATTTTTATATTTTCCAGATTTTGTTTTGTGATTTCCCTAATACAATCATAAAGCATGTTTTGTACTGTAACATTTTTTTTATCGTACCTTTATCGCACATTCGTATATGGACCCTATTTTTAGGGACAGAAGTGCCACATTACCCCCCCGATTCAATGACTTACTAATTTCTAGCTCTATTATTTTAAAACATCAATAGTATATATCATGATACATTTTAAGGTGCATTAATTTCGATCAAGGTATGGTAAAAATAGTACACGCATTACGGGAGGAAAGTGAGTAAGCTCTTATCACCCTCGCCTTCGACTCAGGGGACAGTACCACGCGGGTTTTAATTTCATACCTTCCTTCCTTGGTGCGTAATATAGGTACTATTTTATCATACCTTCGTCGAAAGTTCGTATTTCGACCCTACTTTCAGGGACGAGAGTGTCACATTGCCTCCTAATTCAATGACTTAATGATTTAGTACGCATGCGTCAAATTTCTAGCACTATTGTTTTTAAACGTCAAAAGTATACGTCATGATATATTTTAAGGTACATCCATTTGAAATTTTGAAACGAGGATGAATGTAGATGTCTATGGGCCACAGCAACCACTTACCATCAGGTGGACTGTGTGCTCGCTTGTCACACTTTTCGTATAAAAAAAAAACTTTCGTCCCTGAAAGTATGGTCGAAATACGAACTTTCGATCAAGGTATGATAAAAATAGTATACGCACAACGGGAGAAAAATGTGACATCGCAACCCGCGTTCACACTTTCCTCCCTCGGTGCATAATATACTATTGTCAACTTAAATACCTTAGGTGTTTCAAATCTATGCATGATTTTATATGAACCAACTTTTCACTAACGTTTTTTTAAAGATTTTTGTAGGTACCTTCATTATTCTTTTCGTTGTACTAGGAGAATAATTTAACATAAACAATAAATCCTAATCCCAACAAACTTTTTAGTAACACCTCCGGCTCAAAGAGTACAATTTATTCTCGGAGAAGATGTAGATGACACCACTCTAGAATCTCATCCACTTTTCTCTGAAATGGAAGAATTGGTAAAAGATGGCGATGAACTTGAATGGAAGGAGACTGCGCGATGGATCAAATTTGAGGAAGATGTGGAAGAAGGCGGAAATCGCTGGTCAAAGCCACATGTTGCAACATTATCTTTACATTCGCTTTTTGAACTTAGGAGCCTTATTTTAAATGGCGCTGTCATATTAGATATGGAGGCAAACTCTTTGGAGCAAGTGGCTGAAAATGTATTGGATCATATGGTTACTGAAGGATCTTTAGGATACGATTGTAGAGAAAAAGTTAAAGATGCCTTATTACGGAGACATAGACATCAACATGAGAAAAGAAATCATAATAATATGTCAAAACTTCCTTTAATTCGATCATTGGCTGACATTGGACGAAATCATTCATCATGCAAAAGTAAGTATCATATATTTATCACGTCAATAATTTATTGATGATTATTGTAAGTTTAATAATAAATAGTTATGGGGATATTTTGGCGGTATGCTATTAGACTTCCAGGAAACTGAAACTCGACGTACAAGTACAAGAAATAATCGTTCCTCATCCCCTCAGACGGCTCTACTCCAAGCACCTGATGCCAGGGGCTGTTATCTATCCGTTCCAGGTCAGCCAAATACTCAAGACGGTAACAAGTGTGTGGATAAACGCTCACAAAAGTCACAGCCTTTGTCTGATTTTCACATTGATAATTTTTCTGCACGCACCGGACTAGCTAATTTTAATGTTATTTATTGTACATAATCCCCTATATTATAACATGTGTCCTTAGTATATAAAACTTATTTAACTTCAATACATGTAAAGACTGGCATTCTGTATTTCAGTGGAGGAAAACGCTACAAGTGGACATTCTCAAAAAGGAGATTTCAATCGTTTCCTAGGAATACCTAGCGCGGGTAACCGCTTATCCTTAAGATCTTTCGATTAATGTTTTCTTCACCACTTCTCATAACACGAAAATTATACTTTTTATTTTATAAATATTACCAAACTTCATTAGCCCATTATTTGTTTAACGCTAATTACTAATTTGTCCTGTACTGACATGTTTCATTCGTTTTAGCTTTGGCTCTCGCTTGTTAAGCATCACAATATTTCCATTAGTAACAATGTTTAAAGACGAATAAAATCATACGCAGTATAACACTTTGTAAAGAATTTCTTTTTTGATTAAATTATTTGGTGTAGCTTCGCATTATAAATGTTGTCGTCAAAAATCTTTGGCATATTTGACTTAATTATTAAAAAATTTATGTCTTAATTTAAATTAGACAAATTATTTCAGGTGGGGTTTCCGATGAAGGTATGGTGAAAAGTCCAAGCAGCTTCTCAATGCAACGAAATCACAGCTCTGGTGATTTTCCTGTTAATGGTGATATTAATCATAAATGTAACACACACTTTATGCGCAAAATACCTCCTGGAGCTGAGGCCTCTAATATCTTAGTTGGTGAAGTAGATTTTCTTGACAAAACTTTATCAGCTTTTGTAAGACTAAAAACTGGAACTATAATGGGAGACCTCACAGAAGTACCTGTACCTACGCGATTTATGTTTGTGTTACTGGGTCCACCAAATAGTAACTCAAGCTTTCATGAAATCGGTCGAGCGATGGCAACTCTTATGTCTGATGAAATATTTCACGAAGTAGCATACCGAGCAAAGAAACGAGACCATTTATTAGCTGGTATAGATGAGTTTCTTGACGCTGTGACAGTTTTACCTCCTGGAGAATGGGATCCTGCTATCCGCATTGAACCACCGGCTGCTATACCATCACAAGACCTCCGTAAACGACCTAATGATAATCAAAAAGAAGAACCTGATGAAGAAGAAGAGGAACAACGACTAAGAGAAGAATCAGGTTTGGCTAGAAGTGGAAGACTATTTGGGGGCTTAATTAATGACCTCAAGAGAAAAAGACCATGGTATTGGTCAGATTTCAAAGACGCCTTGGCACTTCAGTGTGTTGCATCGTGGATTTTCCTTTATTTTGCTTGTTTATCGCCAATTATTACATTTGGAGGGCTACTAGGGGAAGCAACAGGGAAAAATATGGCAGCTATGGAATCACTAGTATCTGGATTTGTTTGCGGAATGGGATATGGATTTTTTTCAGGACAACCGTTAACCGTTTTAGGGTCCACAGGTCCAGTATTAGTATTTGAAACTATTGTGTTTGAATTTTGTAAACAAATTGGCTGGAATTACATGTCTTTTAGATTGTGTATTGGTACTTGGACTACAATAATATTAGTTATATTAGTTGCAATAGATGCCAGTGCATTTGTTTGTTACATAACAAGATTTACTGAGGAAAATTTTGCTACTTTGATAGCGTTTATATTTATTTATAAGGTAAAATTAAATATATACTGCTTTTTAAATACTTTTTATTGCAAAAGCTTAATGTAAGGCTCTTATCATTATTTACAGGCAGTCGAAAACGTAATATCTATTGGTAAAAAGTTTCCTCTCAAAACCCACGCCGACGAAGTTCTCAATTATGAATGTTATTGTTTACCAAGTAATTATTCGAATGTGCCTGAAGATTTTAATTGGACTACAATCGATAAGGAATCTTGTCAGGTATTTTAATAATATATAATAAGTTGTTGTAAATGTACTTCAGCTTAACATAGGCCACCTCTCGTTTCTGAGAGCATTTGAGACCGTCTTAGTCCATCGCGCTGCTCGAGTGCGTGGTGGTGGACTTCACAAGTTGTTGAAATATTCCATCCCTCAAAGATATAGGTTTCCTCGCGATGGATTTTCCTTTATTACAGAAAATTCACAATTTCAATTGTGCAAGCAAGCTTGAAAGAGTTACTCGTATATAATGAAATTGGCGAAGGGCGCTTAACCCCCGAGCTACCACAGCTCTAGGTGCATATTTATTGATGTTTTTTACGAAAAGTGTTGGTGAAATTAGCATTAGTAAAATTAACATTTGATATAATTACACTTATTCTTTTCAGTTTTATAATGGCACCTTACTTGGTGTTGGGTGCGAAACAAAAGTATATGTGCCAGATGTTTTTCTCATGTCAATAATATTGTTCCTGGGTACATTTATTATCTCAATTATTTTAAAAGATTTTAAGAATTCTCTCTTTTTTCCATCAAAGGTAATTTTTGAACAATTGATTTTTTATTAAATATTACTAATATCGTTGAAAAACATTTTGCATTTCTTTTAGGTAAGGCAAATAATAAGTGACTTTTCGGTGATCATAGCAATTTTATCAATGTCGTTTCTCGACTATAAAGTTGGTGTCAAAACACCGAAACTCGAAGTGCCGTCGGAATTTAAGCCTACATTACCTACTAGAAATTGGGTTATAACACCCTTTAATGGAAATCCTATCTGGTCAGCATTAGTAGCCATTTTACCCGCACTTTTGGGAACAATTCTGATATTTATGGATCAACAAATTACAGCAGTTATTGTTAATCGGAAAGAGAATAAACTAAAGAAAGGATGCGGATATCATTTAGATCTGTTTGTATTAGCAATATTAATACAAATATGTTCGATTATGGGCCTTCCATGGTTTGTGGCTGCTACGGTCCTAAGTATCAACCACGTCAACTCCTTAAAAGTCGAGTCCGAATGTGCTGCACCGGGCGAGAAACCACATTTTCTTGGAGTCAGAGAACAAAGATTAACTCATATCATGATATTTTTAACAATAGGATGTTCCGTGGTTCTTACTCCGATTCTAAGACACATCCCAATGCCTGTATTGTTTGGAGTTTTCCTTTACATGGGAGTAGCTTCCTTAAAAGGTTTACAATTTTTCGACAGGATATTGATTATGTTTATGCCGCAAAAATATCAACCTGATCATATGTTTTTAAGACAGGTATGGTTTTAGGGAAATAAATATTTTTATCAAATATTACGTATTATTTTACAACTTGTAACACATTTTACAATTTTAGGTGCCAATCCGTCGGGTACATTTATTCACTGCGATTCAATTAACCTGTTTGGTTGTATTGTGGGTAATAAAATCTTTTTCAATGACATCTATTCTATTTCCTCTAATGCTTGTGGTCATGATTGGAATTAGAAAAACATTAGATTTGTTCTTTACAAGAAGGGAAATGAAGATTTTGGATGATGTTATGCCAGAAATGTCAAGACGAAATCAAGATGAACTACATGAACTTGGAAGTGCTGAGGTGCGATAGTGTACTATTATTATTATTATGAACTTTACTAGTTTTAATTATAACAATTTTTTTTAATTACATGACATAAATCATCAATTGATGCTTAATAAATTTTGTTTATTGCGCTTGTACTGGGTAGTTTTAAAGTAAATTTATTTCCTATGCAATTGAAAACGATTGATTATTTGTTATCTTACCCGATCTAATCATATGTAAGTGCAAATTTATATAATGCTAGCGACCCACCCTGGATTTGCCTGGGTAGGCTCTATTAATGTGGTGTTATTTAGATTTAAGACAAACATCGAAGATAATTTATTTCATAAAGCTTTCGATTTCATAAGGATAAGATAAAGCCTAGATCACTCTTGACAATGCTATCAGCCCGGGCAGAAAGACAAACAAAAATTTTAAAAATGTTTACTAAAGTATTAATGGCATGCAAATAACCCTTTAGCTTAATAAAAGGCAGTATTTCGATATTACAACTTACACAGACTTAGAAAAACTATTCTTTAGAATCGTTGTGATTTGAAACTTGAAACGAAAAAAATGACGCTAAAAAGAGACAAGCATAATACATTTAGCCTGCGAGCGAATGAGATAGAATACAGTATAGTAAGCGACAGTGCGAACCGTGAACTCAAAAGGTTGTGGGTTCTGATCTGCCATTCGACTACTGTCGTAAAATCCTAACACTAGCAATTTTAGCTCACCAGTAATAGTTAAAGGAAATATTGTAATGTTAATAGCGTTGCCAGTATTAAAAAAAATGCAGTGTTCTTATTATCTCGGTGTTCTCTTTGTGCAGGGCTTTAAAGACGCTTCATGTAAATTTTAACTATTAAAATAAACAATATAAAATATTAACAAATTTTTTCAATTAACTATATTGAATAAAATTTTCCTAATACTCGTACCAATCCATTCATAACAATCCACTATTTCATAACTTAAGATCATCTAGCGTCTATTTTACGTACCAGTTTGAAAGTCAAACCACTTTACCTATAAGAATAATGTAGATAGCGCTATTACAAAGCAACTATAATAAAATAATATAATATAATTAAAAAATGATATAAATAAATAAAATAAGGATCGTAATATTTATTTGCTATAAAAATAAACTTTTATCTTATATATTATGCCAAACTTGTGATTGAAAATTAAGTTATTAAATAATTTATTTGCCGTTAAATATTATTATTTTATATTTCATTTCATTCGAAAGTTTCACTTCTATCGCGTATGAACTGCACAGATGTTGTTGTTGTTGTTTTCTGTATAAATTTAATTTTAATAATTTCTTATATGTTAAAATGTATAATTATTGTATTTTAGTGCAATTCTGTATTATCGATGTAAGCATTAAATAAAGTTATAATCATTGAGTGTTATTATTTTAATAATACCATACTTAGGATATTATGTTCCTAGGACAAGAATAACCCACCGCCATATCAAGAGAATTTGCAAATACCACTTATAAATGGAAATATAATGAACATACCCTTAACTTCAATAAATATATCAGAGGAGGTTAATAAGACAGGAATCTGGAAGCAAGTTAATAATAGCAATAGAATGAATATATCTTCTGAAACAAAAGATTTCAAGATCAAACCGGGAAAGAAAAAGTTAGTACCTACGTCATAAAATGAACGACAAAACATACATATTACATATTATTTACATACCACATTCATATCATATTTAAGGCTTTTCGTAAATGCCTATATTCATTAAGAAACAAATATTTATTCTCAATGGACAATATGAATAACATTAATTACATTTCGCCACGATTTTCATCACGATGGTTACGTAAGCAACGACAAGAGGAATAAATAAACTGGGAAAACAACAGCGGCATCCTCAACTAACGACATCATTCCACAAACTTGAAGGCCAAGTGTGGCACCGTGCCTATTACCCTATATATTATAATATACATATTTTTTTAACTACTATATGCCATTACTTGACTACTATTCCACCTAATAGTGAGTGATGATGAAGCCGAAGATGGTAAAGTATACTTCAGCCTTTGAGGAAAGGCTATGTTTGACGGTTTAAAGTTTAAAAATAGATAAATATTCTATTATTAAAACTATGTCTGTAGTTTTTTTTTTTTAATAAATATTTACGACTTTTAATCAAGCTGAAGTACATTATGACTGCAATATGAATAGATTGAGGCGACCAGGGAACGAAATTTTTGCTTAGAATAACAACGATAGATTCAAAGGCATTTTAATGTTGCGGTATTTCGTATAGTGAGTGACCTGAGTGTCGAGAATCTTTTTACTAGTAATGAGGCATACCATCTTAATTCTTAGAGGTCGGACAACAAATCTTCATTTTTATTCTTAATTGAGAATTGGTATCTATTGAGCACATCACTCTTTTACGACCAGGCGGACTGTGTGCTCGCTTATCATCCTTATAAACCGATACGTAGCAGTGATCTCGCACCATTTATTGCTGCCTTTTAGACCTTATCTGGATGGCGGCTACCACACATACCAATGTTGTTTTCATCCATTACATGTTATAGTTTCGTATATAATACTTTGTAATTTTAGTTTAGTTTACTTATTTTTATTCTAAAAATATATGGACTTTATCCTTGCCTTGACTTCAGCTGCTAAAAATTAGGCACATTAAAAGAAAACAATATTTTTATGGAATTACTACAAACTATATTTAAATATCTAAGATCTATATCCAAGATGTTAACTTTATTTTTTCTCTATTAAAATGGTCTCATTGCAGCATTAAACACAAGAAATTAATTACCAAAAACACACAATCAGATATTGAAAGGAGACTTTCCACGATGGATGAGGTCGAAGAAGATGATCCGTCTGTAAAGGTGTGCATCGATGACACCAAATTCTGAGCACGCATGCCATCCCATGTTGCATTACCACACAGGAGGACCACACCGCATGGCAGCATGAAGCACGGTACCCTGATTCCCCCGTGCATGGAGTACACGATATGTATTAGACATTACTCGGCAGCTGGGATGCGTTCTGTAATTTTATGATAAAAGCTCAATTTGAAATTAAACTTTATTAAACTAACAAGAATCGAACTTTATAAGGAGGACAGTAAATTTTAAAGTACTTCTATTAGCTTTTTTCTGCTGGACATTTAAAGCCGACTAATGTTTAATGTCCGTAGCTAAATGTAGTTAAATGTAGATAAATACTCGTTAATTTTGTTTATACGTTCACAAAAAATAATAGTATTTTAGTCACAATTCAATTAAAATGACCTTTCCTACTTGCGTAGGTATATAAATAATCTTAAGAATATTATGCAAATTGAGTTAAAAGTTGTGAATGTTGGGTTTGTAAATAAATTATCAGCATTATAGTTCACGTAGCTGAAATCACTGTGAATATCAAAATACTATGTAATAATTAAATTTAAATTGTGTAGCTGTGTTATTTGTTTGAACTTTACTCTTTTCTTATTATTAAAATAATACAAGTCTCTGTGTTTTACCTTCCGTGTGTTTGTTACCTTCCGTTAATATCCTTTTGGTTTATATCTGCAAAGTTTTATTTGCACCGCTTATGTATAGAATATATATACATAATATTCAAACCACACCAAAAAATAATAGATTTAACATTTAAAGAATGTCTTTGCAAACAACGTTAATAAATACCTAATGTATGATTTGTGCAATGTACAAATAGATAGGATAACCTATTCGTAACATGCACTAATAGATATTTGTCCCCAAATACGCAAATTTCCATGGATCAAAGGTAAGAAGCTTGTTTTAATTATTTTTACCAAAATTCCCTTATTTCTACTAGACATTACAGCTTAAACCATGCTAGTTTAATCCATAAAAATATTTTTCAGAGCGATATCGTAAGACGAAAGGAAACTTGGAGCGGAGGAAAAAAAAGTGATTCAAAGAAAAACATTACCTCTGCCGAAACATCAGTATAATTTTCGATTCATCTAAACCTGTCTCGATAACCAATGCGATAACTGATACGATTTGTGGTGTAAATTATCTGCATTTTTTGTCGGTAATAGTTTTAGCAAGAATGAATATACTTAACTTTATAGAATGGATCCAGTGGTAATTTACCTATTTGATGTTCTCGTAGCTCGTAGCACAAAGTTAAACAGACAAAGGACTGAAGGTAAAGTGAGAATCGGAAATGTGATCAAAATAATTTTTAACGTTTTCACATGATTCAACATGATGTATATTTCATAATACTTTTAATACCTAGTTGCTATGTTGTAGTAATAATAATTGTTAGATAATAAAATAGAATCAAATATACAAGTTATTAATCATAAAGAAGTGCCAATAGAAAAACACCGTTAAAAGTTACCTATATATAAGCTTGATTTTAGGATGATCTTCAAAATCAGAATAACGCACCATTATCATTCTCTTAGTCAATTGTAATCTTTAATTTTTTTAAAACGTAAATTTAAGTATGTACACGTTTTTTTATTTTTAATCCTAATATTACCCATGAAATTAACGTTTTTTTGAACTGGTCACTTTGAACTGTAAAAGCTACGGTTTTACTTGAAATTTCAAATGAGTTTTGCAATAAAAGCATTTTATTATTATTTTAAATTAGTTATTGATTTGTTTTAAAATAAATTTATATCATTTTATAAGATTTCGTCAATCTTTATATTTGTTTTATTGAAATTTAGATGTAAGAAATGAACTTAGGCGTTGTAATTTAATCTTACTTATAAATATACTGGTACACTTTAATGTGGTCAAATTTTACTTACGATCATAGTCAGTGAATTTATATCTCATTTCGGTTAAAACCAAAGACATTTAAATATTAAATCTAAATCTCTTTAAATCATTAAATCATTGTACGTTGATTTCATCATTAACCCGACATGAACGCCTAACTTATCCAGACTAGCGATTTTATTACAAAGTAGGTTATATGTCCGGTCACTTAATGGTAATTTATAATGTATTAATCGTTAATATACCCGGTGGGATATGTTTGTTATATGAATTTGCATCATTTTTGAGACCTTTGTGGAGTGTTATGAATAAATGGTTTTCTATAAATGTGTATTTATTGAGTTTTTTCAATCTATATTTTTATTTATTACTTTGACTAGAAAATTACGATTCTTAAGTTTGAAATAACGTCCGTCTAATACAGATCCGATATTTAATATTAATAATTATTGTTGACTCGGTGAAGTACAGATGCAGTTTATACTACTCGTATATATATATATATATATATATATATATATATATATATATATATATATATATATATATATATATATATATATATATATATATATATATAGTTTAAGCCAGTCCGCGCCAGATTGTACGGCCGGGTGATATAGGGTCGCAACAAGTTCATTAGTGAGGCTAATTTGGTAGGGTTGCTGCCCGATGGAAGAAATCAGTTTTTTATCGTGCCACCAGAGATCCTCAAAGAAGATGGCCTCCGTGAAATATTATACTGTTTTTGTACGCGATTATTTTGGTCTGAAACTGCATAAGTAAGCTTATACTATTTACTATATATATAGAATAAGCTGCACCTGTATTTCACCGAAGCGTCATAGAGGCGTTGCAGGTAGCCTCACCAAATGATTCCCATGGCAGTCCACTCGCATGGCACAGCTTAGCAAAAGTCGTTGTCAACAGAACTAAGATGGAATGCCTTACGGCCTGAATACAACAATACTCGCTCTTGATACTGAAAGTTACAGCCTATATACGTTCCACTGCTGGGCACAGGCCTCCCCTCATTTCTGAGAGTGTTTTAGGGCAAGGGAGTGTCCGCCGCGCTGCCCCAATGCGTGTTGGCGAACTTCACATGTCTTCGAAATTTTTTTTCTTATTCCTCAGACATGCAGGTTTCCTTACGATCTTTTCCTTCACCGCCGATCACGCGGTAAATGAGCACTTAAAAGTGCAATTATCAATTTCTTTGGTGCTGGCGGGGATTGAACCCGGGTTACTCGCGTTCTGTTATATTTACAGCGAGCGTTAACCATCTGAGCTACCACGGCTCTTGATACTGAAATATACAACCGAAACAACAATGCAAGCACCGCAATTCGACGGTAATAATAAGTAAAACGATTACATCTACCCATACGGACATTAGGCAGATTATATTTAGGAAGATTATTGTTATTATATATTAGGCAGGTATTCCTACCAAGGAGCATATAATTGCTCCTAACCTAACCTACCTAATAAAACGCATAAGCTGTATCAACATCGGTTAGACCTTGATAAAACTGACGTTGCACCGCTGTCGTACCGATTGAGAACGAAACGCCATTAAACAAAGTGTTGGGTGACGTTTTACCACCTCTGATTAAACGATTTTTCAACAATCATTTGTTCGGTAGGTTTAGTTGAAATATTTATTTAGAATTAAATTCCTTCGGATCGTTCATTGGAAAATCAATGTTAATAAACACGGTTATTTGTTAAATTTGAAAGAATATGAGAAAACATTTCAAAAAAAAAGCCCTTTATAAATAAGACTTAAATAGCAAGCAATTTGTAAATGACGCTATTCATCAAGTTAAGCGAAAAATATTATTCGATGTAAGAAATGGTCCACTATAAACATCATAATATTTCCTAAAGAAGTAATATAAAATAGGATACATTTTTAATGTTAATTCCAATCACAAAAAACATTGAGTATACGAAATAAAAATTGTAAACATTTGTCTACATTTTAATTCTTAATCGCGGATAGAATAGAATGGAATGGCATCATTTTGTTTCAATATTGATTACATTTAAGTCTTATTGTCATTTTTTTTTATTTCCCACTGCACTGGTTCGGAAGAAAAAACCTCTTCTCTGGGAAGAACCAGCAAGAAACCCAGTGGGACATTTTTAAAAGCATAACTTATAATATAATGTTTATACAATGGTTACGAAAACATCTAGAAACACCACGGTAGCTATTAGCTCTTTATCTGCTTTAGTAGTATAGTAAATATACCATCCCATTTCGCACCATGAGGAATCGAATTAAAGAAATGGCCCTGAGTTCCCGGCGCCCCTTTAATGGGGCAGGAGTGCGAAGAATCTCCGGGAGGAAAACCGGCGACGAGGTTCGCCACCCGTCACGTTCTGTCTCCCGGAGAGGCGAAAAGTGGATTGCAGAGGCCCGTCTGGCTACGTTGAATGTATGTGGGGCAATGAATGATAAAATGGATGAAGTATGCGATATGATGTATGATAGAGGAATAGATGTGTTATGCGTAAATGAGACGAAAAGAAAGGGGAAGGATGTCACTACACATGGCATGTATACCGCATACTGGTCTGGTGTAGACGAGATCGAGCAGGCATGCCAGGGAGTAGGTATCATCCTTTCAGAAAGAATGGGCCAATGTGTGAAAGAGTATGAATGTGTAAGCCCAAGACTGCTATGGATACGAATGAAAGTGGGCTTAAAGAAGTTGTTTGTGTTAGGGGTCTACGCCCCAGACATGTCTAAGCCCACTTATATCCGAGAGCAGTTTTGGGAAATGGTAAGGATGGTGTTAATGAAGTGTAAGAGAAATGAAAATATTATTATGCTAGGAGATTTTAATGGAAGGGTTGGGGTGAGGAGGCTTGGTTATGAAAAGATATTGGGAACGTTTGGTGATGAAAGTATAAATGAGAATGGTGAAAGTCTCCTCACCGTATGTATGGAAAGGAATCTTTTTGTGACGAACACTTGCTTTCGCCACAAGAGGATTCACATGTATACTTGGGAAAGAGGTGACGATAGAAGCATGATAGATTTCATAATTGTGGATGAAAGATTGAGGGGCGCAGTGGTAGATACGAGAGTTTACCGGGGTTCTAACGTAGGAATGGATCATTATTTAGTTTTATGCCGAATTAATGGTCTATTCAGGCGTTGGCGCCATCGATCGTCTTTGTCTACCACTGCGTTACAGCGTATTAGAAAAGAAAGTTTACAAGATGAAAGTGATAAAAACAAGTTCAAATGTAGACTGAAAGAAAATATAAGTGGTTTGGATGAATTATGTATGAAGAAGTTAGACTTGGAGAATATATGGCAAAATGTAAAGAAAGGTTTAGTGGATGCAGCTACCGAAGTATGTGGTGTTAGTAGGAGAAAGAATGAAAGGAAAAATAATACGTTATGGTGGGATGATGAGATACGTATGGAAGTTGAAGCAAAGAAGAGAGCATGGCTAGATTTACTAGCAGCAAAGGCTGCTAATTCTAGTGGTACGAATGGTGATATTGAAAGAAAAAAGGCAGTCTTTAGACATCTTAATAAGAGAGTAAAAGAAGTAGTTGAAAGAAAAAACAAGAAAGAACGGATAAGAATGATAGAAGAATATCGGATAACTTCCAGGCAAATATTAAAATGTCCTGGAAACTTGTAAAAACTGCCAGGGGACATTCAAAACAGCCTATGATGAATGCTATAAGAGACGAGAATGGCTATATTCTGAATGATGAAGTTTTGAGTTTAAAGAGATGGAAGGAATATTTTGAAAGCGTGTTTATGAGTGAGGAGACAACGTGTATACTAAGTGAAGTAGAAACACCGAAAGAAGAGGAAAGAGGTAGCGAGATAAGTATAGATGAAATAATGAAAGCAATGAAAAGCATGAAAGCAGGTAAGGCTGCCGGATATGATAGAGTTTCACTCGAAATGCTAAGTGCTGGAGAGGAAGTGGTGGCAGGCCTGCTGCTGCTGCACACCTTGTTTAATTTATCCTGGGAACTGAAGCGGGTACCGGTAGACTGGTGCAGAGCCGTGATAGTCCCAGTATATAAAGGAAGAGGGTCGCAGCAGGACTGTAAAAACTACCGTGGCATCAGCCTTCTTAGCATTGTGGGAAAACTGTATGCTAAGGTATTGATTGAAAGGGTCATGAAAGAAACTGATGAAAAATTTTGGGATGTGCAAGCGGGATTTATA